TAGTTATGAAATCACCTATCAATGTGTCACAAACATCGAGAGAGGACGCTGTGTGGGTTGACTTACGAAACACGTGTATGTACATTTCCATGAGTTTGATGAAACAAGCAGAAATGGATTTGMCTGTCGCACGTGGGATGATATCACAAATAATAAACACGCAAACTGTCATAACAGACCGATTTTGCTTCGCTTCAAATCGTCCTTCCCTTGAAAAGAAATCACAACCTGTGGCTACGGGCAACACAAGCTGCGGGTATGTCCGTGTGGATCTCTCACTGATGCTCTGCAACCTCGCATCCATCTCGTGCAATATCTCGCTTTGCGCGGTATCTGGCAACTTCTTATAAGCAGTTGCCTTGAATGCATCTATCATATGCAAAAAAATGTCGTGTTCAATGGTGTGCATACGGTCTGGTTGCAAAGCGAGATGGTAATCTAGTTCAGGATCGTCACCATGCGGACCTCTGTAGAATCCCCATAGGTCGTTCTCTTGAACATGCTTATGCATGTCCAATTCTGACATTCGTGCCTCAGCAGCACGACGAATGTCGTTGTCCCCACTGTTGAAGCAGTCCGCGGCAAGTTGCGTCTCTAGCGTCTGCGATCTCCTGCAGTTGGTGAAATCGGCGATGACATCCAAATCGTCTTTGGACACTGTGCATGTTGGACAAACATCGAATTTCACAGTTGCAAGGGCACACCTTTCAGGATAGTCCTGTATATAGTTCATGACGAAAGGGTGCACTGTTATCTCACCGAACCGCTCCGTTGTTACCATCATGCCGTCATGGGATGCCTCCTTTGCAGACTGCAATACTGTTGACAACGCTTTATGCAATATCACAGTTTTCTGTTTTCTAAACGCGGTGGAGTGCGGACCCCAGCCCTTGTCACGTGGCCGGTGTTGAAGCACTGGAAGATACGCAAGCAGTGTGACATCTGATGGGCGATGGGCGATTGACATCATCAGAGGATACGCTGTCTGCTTTTGACGACCGTCTACATGAGTCTTGTCTGAATACAGAGACAGAGGGATGACATAACGTGTTCTATCATTCGTGTCCACACCCTTGTCCGCTCTGATAACAGTTTGGACATGGTGACTCAACTGCCCCGTGCGAGAGTCGCAGATTTTGATGTCTTCCCCGGGATGTTGTATTTCGAGGCAAAACACCGTTTCAACGTTGTTCAGTGCAGCACGCACGAGGTCAGCGAATGTTGTGCGCTTGTCGCGGTACCACAGAATGACATGCGCTTCTTCGGGCCAATCATCACTGCGTAGATTCTTCTCTTGCCACCCTGCAGCTTCAGCCTGGCGGCCTGCCCATGTCAGACACTCACGACTGTTACGAAATGCGATATCTCTGGGGTCAAATCTAGGATTTTTTAGGAGTGACAACAGACAGTCAACGTCGGTTTGGGAAATGCCCACACCACCCCTACACGAGAAAATCAATGCCGCTAGTTTGCGGGAGCTGTCGAATGCCTCTGCGTGTTCTTATTGTTGTTCTTCGGATGCGCAGTCCGCTTGTACATCAGGATGGGGCTCAACCTCCTGGCTTTCCCCACTGACCACGTCAATGGGACCACTATTCGACGGTCCGCCGTTGACCTCCCCAACTATCTCTTCTGTCATGCTCCTCTCTTCCACAGTGGAGGGACATGCCCGCGCTCGGTGCGAGTTCATCGTCCGCAATGACATGAAAGGCCGGCCACAGTCACACACGTGATTCGCGTCTTCCATTGCATCTACGTGCGAGGTCTTACGAATTACTGTCAGTTAAGACCTACCGCCGATAGAGGATGCGTATTTGGTCCCAAATTCATGCGTTCCTTTCACACTCCCCCCTCCCCCGTTCCCCCTCTACCTCCCGTCGACTCAACACCGCTGCTGTGCACTGCTCACAGATTCGAAGACAATGACAACATTCAAATTGAAATTAAAATCAAAAATTGTGAGGAATGTTTTGCCTTTTTTTTTTTTTTTTTTTACTTCGAGCCATGCAACCTTTTCTTTTAAAGCGTCACATCCTTGTTTCCTGACTGCGCACGCACACACACACACACACACACACACACACACACACACACACGCACACACACATACGCCACACACACCCACACCCACACCCACACACACATACACATGGAGCGCAGTCAAAGAGAGAGAGAGAGAGAGAGA